TCGATCACTCGGACTACAAACAATCAGAATGCCTCCACGTCGAGCGCCTCGAACACCGATGGCTACAAAGCTGACTGCAATCTGCGATCACATTCACGCCGTGAATCTCACTCCGAAGGCATTCATCACGGCATTCTTGCAGCACACCGCAGAGGACTTTGCTTTTAAACGTCGATTCTGGGGAACCGACACGGGGTGGGATTCGACAGTTGGACTGTTAGAGGCGATTCAAACTCTGGTCTCCTCGCATGTTGAAGGGAGGGAATTGTGGGATGATTGGGTTCTAGCTCAGGTGAGTGACATGTCATTTATCTGTTGAGCGAGTTCTCAAGGTTTCGACTGTTCAGGCCACACAGATTGTCATACATCAAAATCCACGGCAAGGTAACTATCCAGCGGGAGGGTATGTCTCGTCTGGTGACTTGAAGCAAAGCTTCTTCACGGAGCAGGAGCGCTTGTCACAAAACAGCAAGCTCACGGATAGTATGCCTTTCCTATATAATCTAATCTACAAGAAGATGAATTTCGACGATTCGGATGAGGTGTCCAGTGAGAAAACCGACACTGGTGACGAGGTTGAAGCAGTAGAGGATCCCGAGCCAGAAGAGGTGGTCATTGAAGATCCAATCACGGCGGATGATATGATTGATGAGCTGCAAGATCCCGAGTTAAAAAAAGGACTACTTGCGCTATCAGAGCAGGACATCAATGTCTTTGAAGGCTTTGGTTTGGTTAAAAACAACAATCCAACACACAGCCGGCGTCTTCGGGCAGATACCGTGTGTATTTTATTTGAGTACTCAATTTGCTGGGGGATTGGACTGACCTTTCCATCTGACGTTGGGACAGGTCGCTCGTACAATTTGTGCAATGGTTTCATTTGGCTGTAATCGCCGACAGAACTGTTTCCAAATGAGGAACTCTTTGATGTTTTTGGCCGCAGGCGTCACTGAACGGGTCAACACCTATCTGAACTATGTTGGACTGAGCTCTTCACGAAGGACAGCTCATGCGGCCCTGAAGACCTTAGGGAGTGAAGCTGAATTGAAAGTCAAAAGTCGATTGGCTCTAGGTCCTATTCTACCACCTAGTATTTGTTTTGACAATTTGGATTTCCAGCAGAAAGTTCACATGAAGTCTGTTGGTAAATGTGCGGTCATGTTTCATGGAACTTGGGGTTATATTCATTCCCCTCCTCCTAGCATTCTTCCACTGTTGAATCCTGCTGAGCTCACTACAGAGGCTCTCAACAAGGCATTGCACATAGCATCAAAGCAGGATATTCTCCTCAAATCTTTTGCACCAACACAGGAGAGTACAAATCACTTTGCAAAGGTTTTAAAATCTCAAATCACAAGGGTGATCCTCCGATATGTAGCGCTCCCGGTTGGCGAGCAATCGACACTCCATCGCAATCCACCGTCAGTCCAGCCAATAGCTGCTGAGCTACCTAATGTGGCCATGCTGAAGCTCATGGTTGCTTCTGACAATTCGGCTCAAGGCGTTGGGGAGGTATTCACCGGGATCATTCAGCAATCTGGCCTAACCCCTCAAGAATTCCACTCCCGAGTTCAGATCATTGAAGGTGACTTGGGGACGTGTAATATTTTTGATACACTACGAAACCAAAGGACGCCTGGTCACACCCACAAAGCAAGCCTGGACAATGTACTTCCTATCCCCGGGGCGGCTCACACACTCTGGAACATTGCCCAAGCTTTGTTTCTATATCACTGGGGAGATGAAAAACACAGTCGAGATACCGGGGCATGGCGGACTCTCCATGCCTTGGGGATCCAAGCAGATAAGCCAACAACCAAGAAGGATTTTAATCTGATGCTTTCACATATTGAGAGGATACACGAGGCTAACCTTCTCTATTGTGCACTGTGAGTTATGCTTCACTTGAGTTCAGGGATTATGTACTCCACTGATGGATTGTTTTGTTGATGTTGCCAGGGTGATCCTTGGTAAGGATAAGGATTGCTTAGGTGAAAAATTGATCAATATGACGGCGGGAGAGATCACAAGATTAGTTGAAGAAACCTACGAGACTTTCTGCACAATCGATGCCCGTGAGTCAGAGAGGGCGTCAAAATTCCCTGCATATGGCAACATGCTCTTGCGGATTCGGGACTTTGCAACCATAGTGGAGGCAGCTCGTGCCATGAAAGCTGGCGACCCTGGGCGACTGATGTATATGTGGGAACGCTGGGCATTTATGACTCAAGCTCTGCCCAAGCTGCCTCATTATTCCAAGCATCTCCCAAAGCTCATAGTGATGATGAAGGAAGTCTTGCCTGCCTCATTGGCAAGGGTTGTGGAAAGCACCTTGCTCATCTCACCCACCGGAAGACCTAATCACTTTGTTGCTACGGACTGTTTCTTAGAGCAACAGAACTATTGGCTCAAGTATTTCTTCAATCATTCTGGTATTGGCACCAATATCAATCGCTTGAAGGATGTGTTTTCCATCAACATCCCAGTGGTATGTAAAACCCTCCTTGCAATGTTATGTACAGATAAGTTTGCTTGGTAAGTCATAAGCTAATTGGTTCATTGTTGGCCCATTTCCGACAGCTACGCTTTCTTATTCAACTGCTAAAGATTGAGTCAGGATCTAACTACGTGCAACAGTCTCATCAAAACCGGTTGGACTTGGTGTCAATAAATAATTTCCTCCGAATGGCTGCCAGGGAAGAGCTCAATGATCTCCCAACACGTGGTTTTACTCCAGCTGCAATTTTAGATCTTTATGACACAGGCGTAATGAAGTTGAAGATTGAGAGCCTTGCCAAAGGGCTGGAACGATTCAGGCCTTTCTCAGCTGGCATACAGCAATTAGAAGACAAGCGACAACAGGAAGGGTTAGCCATGGACACTGAGGGAAGTGCAGGCCATGAGAGTGAGGGTTTCATTACAGATCATACAAGCACAACGGACTCAGAGGAATCAAGTGCGGAATCATTATCAAATGGTGAGTCCAGCCTCACTTTACCTTTCCCTTGCTCCTATCAGCTTGGGCCTTAGCCTTTTCGGCTGCAATTTCCCAGCGTCGATTCGATCTTGCCTCAGCATTGTTGACCAAGTTGTGTTTATTGTTCTGACTTCTAGATACTGAAGAACCCAGCACCTGATCTTTCTCGACAATGGCACCCGCATACTCGTCCAGTGCCCGCTTTTTACTTTCAGCTTTCTCGGCGGCAATCAGTCTCCTTCGGTGTGCGGCCTGAGCCGCCACATCCCGCTTCCGTTGTTCAATATATTCCTCCCTTTCGTTGCGTAATCGAATGCCTTCATTCTCTAACCAGACCTGGTGAGCCTCACAGGCTTGCAGATATCGATGGTAGAACTCGCTTGTGAACCAAGCCTTGATGGCCTCACCCAGAGATGTCACTTGCCCAGGGAAAATTTCCCCCCCAATGACCTTCCCCAGTAAAACAGTATCGAGAGTGTTATCCTGAGTAATTTTATCGATGTGGTCTGTTATTGCCTGAGCTTCTAATTCGCCAAAAAACACTGAGGGACGGAATTCAGGCGACGGTCCAAGGGTCTCCAGGAAAAAGCAGTTGAATTTGGCTATCAAAGTCTCCTTCAGATGAGCGGAAATATGCTTCGGATATTTACAAGTTGGTTTGGGGGGTTTTTGCTTTTTCTTGCGGACCAGGACCTTGAAAGACTTGTCCTTTGCAATTGAGAGAGGATCCTTCCGAAAGGTGTCGAAGTTCCGTGTGTTCATCTGCTGGATTTTGTCAATAATTGCCTCGGCCTCCGCTGGCATGCAATTTGAACAGTCACATGGTGGGAAGCGCTTTGATATCTCTCGGGCCTTCTCAGTCTGGTAATGAGGATCCTCAGTAGTTAGAGGGATGTATCCATTCCTAAAAATCATTCAGGTAAGAAAATTCATGAGCCATGAACACATATATAGTTATACAAATTACAAGTTGTGTAGTGACTGACAAATTGTCGACTGTGAGAGCTATTCTTAAGCACACGGGCGTGACCGCCAACGCATCCATACGAGTATCGTCATCCTGGAATCCAATCAGATCAAAATCATCGACCGAGTTCTTCCCTTTCTTTCGGATCGGCTCCATGAACATCAAGGCCAAACCACCATTTCCACCCCTCCCACATCTTCCGACCATCTGAACGATAGAAGCTGGGTCCCCGCGGCCCATGTGGATGACACAGCGGACACGTTTGAGATTTTGACCGAGCCCCAAGGCCATCGTGGTTGAGAAGATTGGGAATTTCCCATCTGTAAAGTCCTTCATGTTTGTGATTTTGTCGTCATCATCAGTGCATGAGTGGAACCGACGAATAAATCCGTCCGCAGGGTCAAATTCATGGAGTCTGGTCTTCCTGGCTTCATTAACAACCTTCATCACATTGAAAGTAGCGTTACGAGAACCAGAGTAGATGAGAGTTGGCACTGTGTCATTGGCCGATGTTTTTGTATGCGGGGAAAAGACCCTTAACAGATCATCCACCGATTTCAGCGTCTGAGTCATAGATATGTGAATCAGTCGAATCTCCGGCCGAGTGAGTTCCCCGTCGATCATTTTGACATCAGTTTGCTGTAGTTTGAGGTTTTGAAGAATTGAATCAACCGCAATCGGTCGGCAGGTTGCAGATAGCATGAGCAGTGGAACATTATTAGTTGCCATCAATCGAGTCGCCATACACCCAAACGACGGTCGGAAAACCGAACGGTCCTGATGTCGATCGAAGCTGTTGAGTGACTTGCTAGCCCTGGATGCCACAAGGCCCCACAAGTAAATCATGTGGGCCTCATCGACCACAATCAATGCCAGTTTATTTTGGAACTCGTAGCTGAAAAACAGATCGGTGAAAAGACCACTGTTGAGGAACACCTCTGGGCTCTGGCACCAGTGAACAATGTGAGTCTAATGTCCTGAAGTCCACGGTATGCTAAGGAAATCGGCTTACTAAGTACACAAAACTATACATCCCCTTCTGAATGTCATGAATGACCTTGAGGCTCAATGTCATCTTGTTCAAGTTGATCGCTGTTATGTTTACCAGCGCCTTTTCCCTGACCTGTCAGTATACCAAAGAATTAAACGATGAGCATGCACGGATGACAAAAATAACCTAGCATCATCTCAAAATCATTACCTGATCGTCACCTAAGGAATCCAATGGATTCAGAACCAAAACGACCACCTTTGTTTTGAAGAGTTTGAAGAACATTTCTGAGATTCTGGTTTTCCCAAAACCAGTCCCAGCTCGGACAAAAACATTATTCCCCTTGACCAGCGCCGACACCGATTCCACTTGAAGGGTCTTTGGAGAGTCTCCATAGAAACTTGCTGCTTGTGAGTTGATGTACTGCTTGAGTAAAGAGTCTTCCATTTCGACAAGGGCTTTGGGCAACTTCCCTGGGGTTTTTTTGGAGGCTACCAGCGCATTCATTGGGGAAGGCGAGTTAGGAGAGTAGGTGCCAGAATCTGATTTTGTTGCGCGACGACAAAAAGAAAACCAGAAATGGCAAGATTATTGAACTTGCTCCCGGCCGCCCGGTCCAACCACTTTGCACAGCTATCGGTCCGAAATCCAGAGGGCCGGTCTACCGTCTATGGGAATGTTTGGCCTCATGGCTTTGACTTCCCAAAACCCATGGGTTTATTGAAACCAGGTGAGTACAGATTGTTTGTATTTCCTGTATTGGATGGGCTTACGTTGCCACACATACTGTATAAGCAGGACACAAATTTTTTGAGATTTTCAAAACGATCGAATCGATGATTAACAAAAGACAAGCATTCATAAGGGAAAATGGAGCGCATGAGGAGAGACCTCAGATGCTAGCGCACATTTCACTCTGCAAACTTTTTTTACCAAGACTACAAACACAAAAGTTATAGCGAGATTGATGAAGAAACGCATTTTATCCTAATTACCTTGGGCACGGGTTGGGACTTCGCGCATAAGTCCCTCCTTCGGAGGGTCCCTGCGGGACAGCGTCCCCCCTCCGAATACGAGGGACTTCATTAAGTTAGGCAGCATATGACCAGCTGGGAATAAAGAAACTGTCATACCACTATCCAAACCACTCAACAATGTCCTTCATGAACCTATTCCAGGGGGGATACATCACCTTTGCACTCTTGGCTCTTATCATTGCCCTCCACTCGGGTCAGGCGGATGCTGTCGCAACCCGCACAACACGACAGTGTGGCTATCACTTCGGTCCCAACGACAGATACGTTCAGAAAGCATGTAAGCAACAGTACCCCCAATTTCAGATTGTTTTATGAAAGCTCTGAACCTGGAAAACTTCGAACCCCCCTCAGCCTGTATGCAGACGAATACCCAGGATCACTTATGCTCGTTCGACAGCTGTTGGAGCGGTTTGACTAGGTGTAAGTTTCGGTGCTGTTTGCCCTAGAGATATATAGTGAAACCACTCGGGACTCATGCTGCCGCTCCACTTTTTCCTACATGGGCTTGTGTTGACCAACTCAAGACTCAGCTATGTACTTCAGTAACTGTCGCCGCAACAATCGCGCACAACACAAAGATCGAGTATTTTTGAAGCAATATTTCCGCCGGGACAACTGGATTGGCTAGTGGCGATTTTCGAGCGGAAGAGTTTTTTCTCAAATACCAACATGTTGACTTTGTACCTGTCGATGTAGAGGTTCAAGACATTGACGATGGCCTTTGGTGGAACTGTGATTATGCAGATGCACCTGAAAACGGCAACTTCATCAGTGAGTCGCTACCAGCTTGCAATGAAATCAGACGATTAGAAACTGACGTGCGTTCTCATAAACAACCAGCCTGTACTGACTGTTCTTCATGAGGTTAACTACTTTCACTGCTGGAAAGAAGTCGAGTACTTGCTTCCCCCGGTTATGTCCTTTCCCTCTCCATCGTACAAAGCTG